CAGAGAGGAAGGGAGAGGGACAGAGAGCTAGAAACATCGATGAGAGAGAAACATCGATCAGCTGCCTCCTGCACACTCCCTACTGGGGATGTGCCCGCAACCAGGGCACATGCCCTTGGCCGGAATCGAACCCGGGACCCTTCAGTCCGCAGGCCGACGCTCTATCCACTGAGCCAAACCGGTCAGGGCGACAATTCTTTTTTTTAAATATATTTCTTTATTGGTCTCAGAGAAGGAGAGAGAGAGATAGAAACATCAATGATGAGAGAGAATCACCGATCGGCTGCCTCCCGCACGCCCCCCACTGAGGACCGAGCCCGCAACCCAGACACGTGCCCCTGGCCGGAATCCAACCCGGGACCCCCCTCAGTCCAGGCTGACGCTCCATCCACCGAACCAAGCCATCCAGGGCTGATGACAATTCTTATAATCACTAAATTATAACCCTTATACATTTCAAGACTAGTGTTTTTAAAATATGGATCATGACAGTGGGGAGGGAAAAAGAAAAAAAGAAAGAAACAGAACCAAATGTACTTTAGAAAAATAGACTATATTAAAAAGTATTACATGTATTGAAGTTCGTAAAAATAAATGCACACACAGAAAGGCGTGCACCGTTTCCTTTTGGACTCAGGCTCCCTCGAGGTCTGTCACAGCACGGTTGGATCCTGTTTTTTCGTTGTTTTTTTTAAAATATATTTTTATTGGTTTCAGAGCGGAAGGGAGAGAGAGAGAGATGCTCTATCCACTGAGCCAAACCAGCCAGGGCTCAACCCTTTTTTAAATTTTTATTATTGATTTCAGAAAGAAAGGAGAGGGAGAGAGGGATAGAAACATCCATGATAGATAATCATTGATTGCCTCCTGCACGCCCCCCACAGGGGATCGAGCCCGCAACCCAGGCATGTGCCCTTGATGGGAATCGAACCTGGGACCCTTCAGTTTGCAGGCCAACTCTCTATCCACTGAGCCAAAGTGGCTAAGCCTTTAAAGCAATAATTTAAAAAAAAAATTTAATTAATGTCCCCCAAATCCATGATGAACAAAATATCAACAGTTTTTTCATTGAGTTACTTAAATCAAGATGCTTCCTTTTATAAAAATTTTATTTATTTTTGTATTTCTTGATTTTAGAGAGAGGAAGGGAGAGAGAAGAATATCAATTTGTTATTCCACTTATTTATGCATTCGTTGGTTGTTTCTTGCATGTGCCTTGACTGGGGTTGAACCCTCAACCTTGGTGTAGGGGGACGACACTCGAACCAACTGAGCTACCCAGCCAGGGACAAAGTGTCAAAAAATTCAGCACGGGATCAGCAATGGTGCTGGGACAAGCCATACTACAGTCTGCAGACTGACCCAAAGGAAAAATCTCTAATACCTGTGATGTCTTTATTTCACATGTTGGTGTTTTGTTCATCATGGGTTCCTAGGCATTTATTTTTCTTTTGTACAATGTTGCATTAAGATATTATCTATGTCACCCTAGCTGGTTTGGCTCAGAGGATAGAGCGTCAGCTGCAGACCAAAGGGTCCCAGGTTCGATTCCGGTCAAGGGCATGGACCTCGGTTGCAGGCTCCTCCCTGGCCTGGGCCCTGGTTGGGGCACGTGCAGGTTCTTTTGTACGATATTGCATTAAGATATTATCTATGTCACCCTAGCTGGTTTGGCTCAGAGGATAGAGCGTCAGCTGCAGACCAAAGGGTCCCAGGTTCGATTCCGGTCAAGGGCATGGACCTCGGTTGCAGGCTCCTCCCTGGCCCGGGCCCTGGTCGGGGCACGTGCAGGAGGCAACCCCTCGATGTGTTTCTGTCACGTGGATGTTTCTCTCTCTCTTTCCCTCTCTCTTCCACTCTCTCTAAAAATCAATGGAAAAATATCCTCAGGTGAGGATTAAAAAAACACACCACAAACACAAAAAGATATTATTATTATTTTTAATATACTTTTATTGACTTCAGATAGGAAGGGAGAGATAGAAACATCACTGATGAGAGAGAATCATCGATTGGCTGCCTCCTGCACGCCCCCCACTGGGGATCGAGCCTGCAACCTGGGCATGTGCCCTGGACTGGAATAGAACCTGGGACCCTTTAGTCGACAGGCCGACGCTCTATCCACTGAGCCAAACCAGCGAGGGCGAGATATTATTTATATTGATGATGGAGTTTGGAACCTAAGGTGATTGCCTCACATGCCCAAGGGGCGGGCTCCATCCCCAGTGCGGGGGCCTGCAGGCGGCAGCCGATCCATGATTCTCTCTCATCTTTGATGTTTCTATCTCTCTCCCTCTCCCTTCCTCTCTGAAAGCAATTAAAATAATATCTAAAGTGAAAATCAATAAGAATATTTTTGGGGGTGGAAACAAGCTAGCCCAAATTTATTAACGTCCCCCCACCCCCGACCCCCCCAAAAAAAGACACGAGGACATGTTGTGGGCGCTGCGCTCCTGAATTCACCTGTGTTACCCTCCAGTCGACTGGGACAGGATGAGGAGAGGGAACAGCTTGCCGCGCTTTATGAAAATATCCAGATACCACTGTCGGGAGACGAAGAGGAGGCCTTCAGGGCCAGGCGCCCAGGCGAGGCTGGGTGTCTGCTTTCGGGGAACGAGAAGGAGCTGGCGGAGTTCATTAATTCAGGTAGGAACCGACCCGCTCATCTGGGCAGATCCGCAGTCACAGGAAAGCTGAGCTGGCCATCAGGGCTTGGTTTTCTTTTCTTTTTTAAAAAAATTTATTTATTTTTTCTTGATTTCAGAGAGGAAGGCAGAGGGGGAGAGATATAGAAACATCAATGATGAGAGAGAATCCTTGATTGGCTGCCTCCTGCACGCCCCCTACTGGGGATCGAGCTCACACCCCGTTGGTCCTGTGCCCTGACCGGGAATCGAACCCGGGACCCTTCAGTCTGCAGGCTGGCGCTCTATCCACTGAGCCACACCGGCCAGGGCAATGGTTGGTTTCCAAAGGCAAAGTGGGAATTGATGGAGTTTGAGGGAAGGAAGATGAATATCGACAGCCCCACCCACAGACACGACCGGCTCCCGTCCGTTGTCCCCGCGGTAAACCCCTGTGGCTGCTTGGTTTCCTTCGCAGGGACGTTCCGAGGGTTGAAAACAGAGATTAGGAAACAGCCCTTTTCCCCGACCAGACATTTCCTTACAGGTAATTATTAGGGTGACATGACTCCCACGCTGAGAACACAGACAAGCAGACGTCCCGCCTTCACCGGGGGCCTCAGCCCGACGTGAAAACAGGACCCAGGCCCAGAAAGCAGAGGCCGCTACCCCAGGTTCAAAGACCCCTGTCAGCTACGCCCGTCTTGCCTGCAAGCCCCTGTGAGAGGGCCGTACACGTTCATAGAAGCCTGACTTGGTAGACGCTCTGACGTTCTTAGATACTTGCTTTAAAAAATTCCTAGCCCTGGCCGGTGTGCCTCAGTGGATAGAACATCGCCCTGTGGACTGAAGGGTCCCGGGTTCGATTCTGGTCAAGGGCACATGCCTGGGTTGCGGACTCGATCCCCAGTGGGGGGCGTGCAGGAGGCGGCTGATCCATGATTCTCTCTCATCACTGATGTTTCTATCTCTCTCTCCCTCTCCCTTCCTCTCTGAAATCCATAAAAATATATGTAAAAATATTCCCAGAGCACAAGTCTGTAGAGAAGGCATTATCTCGTTCAGTTTTATTAACCACACCCTGGATGGAGCGCCTCCCTGACTGCCCTAGACACAGACAATCCTAAAGAGGCTGCCAGGCCTGAGGAGAGATAACTGATGCTCACCAGGCAGACAGCCCTCATCAGCCTTCAGAAGATAATTTTTCACTGTCTTTTCATTACAGTGAAGTATAACTTTCCTACATTCTCTCTTTATTGGTCATTTATAAAGACGGAGTACAAACTCACAGACCCAGACAACAGTTATGTTGGTTACCAGTCAGGAAAGGGGCTGTGGGGAAGTAGAAGAGGGTATAGGGGGGTCAGCGGTGATGGGAGGAGACTTGACGTGGGGTGGTCAGCACATAATACAATATAGTAGAGATGATGTGTTATAGAATCATATGCCTGAAACCTATGTAATTGTGCTAATGTTTCCCCACTGAATTCAATGAAAAAAAAATAATGCTTGAATACGGAAAATGGGACAATAATTTAAACTTTCAAATTTTCACCGTCCTTATCAAATCACATGCATTATGTCCTAAAAATCCCACTATTCGCACCTTTATTTTTTTTTATTTTTTAAATTTTTTTTTATTGCTAAAAGTATTACAAAGGGTATTACATATGTGTCCTCCCCCCCCCCGCCCCCGCACCTTTATTTTTCTATCCTTTTTCCATAGGCCCTCTTTCTTCCTTTCTATTCCTCCGTTATTTGTAACTTAACAACCCTATGTCTATATTTTAGCTATTAGATCAAAAAGAAGACAGCATCTTGAAGGAGCAGGATTGGAGAGCGCGCAAAAGCAGTAGAGGAAGCACAGCACGGAATGCTGGGCCCCTTGCAAACGTGGGAAACCCGTGAAAGCCAGTGAGAGAGCCGCAGGCCGCGCTACCCCGTGTGGGGAACACACGGTGGGACGTCAGCCTGAGGACATGCGAACCCTCAGGGAAGAAAACTAGAAATATATAACACAAAATAAACCCACAGCATAGTCATCCTCGCCTCTTAGCTCTCATGAATAGTTCATGAATAATTATAATGTAACAGGAAAGAGGAAAATCCAACTTCGTAAGTATGAACGAGAAATTGTCTGCATTTTCTTTCCTTGCTTCTAACCAGAAATACAAGGAATTTCTTTGGGGAACCTCCCAGACCATGCTGGGGAGCCCCCCACTTTCACTAAACAGAACTTTCCCACTGATACCTGTCAGTTCCAGTAGCTTGTCTTCGTTTACAAGAGGAGCCTGAGAATGTCACTGGGTACCAGATAAGGAGTGTGTGTGTGTGTGTGTGTGTGTGTGTGTGTATGGAGGTGGGGGAGGAATCCAATTCCTTGTGGGTTTTATTTATTTTTTTAATATATTTTATTGATTTTTTTACAGAGAGGAAGGGAGAGGGATAGAGAGTTAGAAACATCAATGAGAGAGAAACATCGATCAGCTGCCTCCTGCACACCCCCCACTGGGGATGTGCCCGCGACCCAGGTACATGCCCTTGACAGGAATCGAACCTGGGACCCTTCAGTCCGCAGGCCGACGCTCTGTCCACTGAGCCAAACCGGTTAGGGCAGGTTGTTTTATTTCTGTTAAATCCTTATCTGAGGATATTTTTCCATCGAGCCAAACCAGCTAGGGCCAAAATTGTTAACTTTCTATAACTTGACCGGATCGAACCCGGGACCCTTCAGTCCGCAGGCAGACACTCTGTCCTCTGAGCCAAACCGGCCAGGGCTGACACGTGAGTATGTGACCAGGAAAGGAGGCTTCATTGTTCAAGCTCCTGGGATTCTGGAATTCTGTGAACTGCACCTGGTGGTTTGGAAACAAGTGTGTCCTGCTGACATGAAGAAGTGACCAGCTCCTGCCGGGCTCCCACACTGTGGGCCTCAGAGGGGATAGCGTGACGGCTCAGGGGACACGGCTGTCGCTCCAGTTCTGTGGCCGCCCAAGGCCTAATGTGTAGCCCGAACCCCATGATCTCGTGTGCGTTTAGGCATCAACCTGTGGAGGGGGCGGTGGTGGTG